GTACCACAAAGACTGTATAAGCTGATTAGGTGTTGGCCTGGCTGCTAAATTCCAGTAAAACTGACAAAATAAGCAGAAACGTTTATATCTCGCAGCTATTTCTGTATCTTTTAGTTTATTACGTTTCACAGTGGGTCCTATTCAAATATTTCATTCGTGTGATAGAAGCTTCGGTGCAAAGTAACATAATTTATTGTTAACTAAGGAGTCTTCGTGTTGCTTAGTGGTTAAGTAGATAACAACCTATTTTACGCGCGATTTATTATAACAATTAAAACATAAAACAAATAAAAGAAAATCACCAGATTCAAATAATCTTTACATGTTTCAACTGAAACACCCAATGAACAGTAAACTTTAAACTCTCGACATTTATTTTATGTTTTATTAAACTGTCACGGTAAATCGCGCACTCATGCATTAACTAGGTTGTTATCTATTCAACCCACAGAATGTATTATATTTTTTGTAACTTAAGGAATTAAAAATATCTACATCAATTTTTCTGTATCAGTTTCTCTGAGAAATAACAAACTGTTAAAATTATTTAACTTTTGCTGTCATCTATAAAATATTCTTTCAGGTGCGTATTCGATAAAGTTATTTATCAAGCATAACTGCAAAAGGCGTCCACCAGAGTATAAGACGTCACAAGTCATGTAGTTAGTAGGTATAAGTTGAAGCTGAAACCAGACTGGTTTAGTATGTGTCTGTGTATTGAAATGCATGAATATCACTTATAAAGACGGCTAAGACTATTCATCCTGAAATTGTGTACATATAATAGTTGCTGCGTCCAAAAGGCCCGAGGCCACCAACACTTGTCAGGTTTACCTAAAATATTTTCTATGCAGTACTGGGGGGGTTTGTCCTCCACTTTCTTCCCACTCCTCGATGGATGTTCCCTACTGAGTGAGACTGGTTTATGTGTGAATATGAACTTTTGTTAAGTAAACATCTATCCAGTGCTTCCAGCAATGAAAAAACCTAAAGAAGGGTTGAGAGAAAGAACGACTTTTCCGGTGTTTTTTTTTTCTCTTGTTCTCCATATGGTAGCTTGACTGTCAGATACTAGGGCCACTAACAATAAGCCCTAATTAATACCCTTAAGCGAAAAGGCCAATCTGTCAGAGCCCGAACCGTATCTTATACCAAGTGCAACACTCGGGTTGGGACCAGGCTTTGAACCCCTATGAGAGTCTAGTAGGCTCGACCCCATCCAGTTGCCTCCGTTAACCCTGCTGTGTCATAACTTATTTTTGAGGGCTGAGCTTGCTCTCCCCCAGAAATCTCTGGCCCACCCAGCTCGTTGCACACCTCGCAAGACAAGGGATGAAAAATGACTCAATATTTATAGGTACTTTTCGCAAGACAGACATTTGAGACTGCTACCTCTATTTTAATTGGAGCACTTTGGATACAGCATTATGTGAATTACATTTAACCGCTTATTCAACACATTGAGTTTAGCCTACTGGTGACCAAGTCCACGGCTTCCTTCAGATATCCCACCTTTAACCTTCTGACTTCGCTTCTGATACTGACTCAACTAAGTTACGTGTTTCGATATGGTCCGACCACAAATCAACTTAACACTGTATCCGATACTGTCGCTGCTTATAAAAGGTATCATACGAAGTATCACTAAATTTTCGGCTTGAATTACCTTCAAGAAAAATCAGAACCATAGTGTTTCCGAACGTTATATGCTTATATGGTTTTAACGTTATATGCTTTCAGACATACCGGTGAGCTATTGGGTATTTG